GGAAAGATGAGAAATTGGGCTGAGTGTTGCCAAGTAGAGCAGTTTGTCTCATGACCTTATCTCATAATAACATGTAGGAGCTTCAGGGCTTTCTAACAGCTTTCATAGGTGTTTAATGAGGCACAGAGTAAGAGTGATTAATTTTTTAAAATTTTTCTGCAATGAAAGAAATAAAAGGGTTATTTTTTCTTCTGATAGTTATGACTGATTCACAGTTTGCTTTAATACATTTTAGACGGGGTGCTGTGCAGTAAGAATTTAATCCTGGGTTCCCCTCTGGCAGTATCAGTGCATCAGTAGTCTACTGGCACAGAGAACTCAAGGGGTTAGGATCAAGAATTCATTGTTTTGAAACACTTCTAAGTACAACGTACAGCTAGCATAAAATTTTAACAAGCCAAAGTCACCCACTCATTAAGCATGTGTCCCCTTGCATATGTGGCAAAGTTGGTCAGCGGTCCAGCACTCAGAATGCAGTGAGATGAAAAGCACTGCAGTCAAAACCAAGCTGGGGACCACAGCCTTTGACAATTCTTCTTTTAGTCCTTGCCACTCTAGGCACATAGTATAATCCTAGAAAAAAGTGGCTTACATAACTCCCAAGTAGCTGCTCATTCAAAGTTACTTATATTTTGGAGAGCTCAAGTCAGGTCATAGTGCAAGGTGCTGCATGACACAACAGTAAGTACATGTGCTATCTCAGCGTGCTCATCACAGAAGAAAAAATCTTCTGAAACAAACTTCTGCTGTGGAGAAAACATATTTCCGTGTCTCATGTTTCTGAGATGGTGCAAAAGGATTCTAGCCCAATCAGCTGGGTTGCATTTTTGATGGGCACCTTGCATTTGGACATGAATGCCTGATGCTCCTGAGCAAAATCAGTTTGTTTCAATTTTATTGACTTGCCTTAGGCCCAGTTTGGCTTTGGCAAAGGCAGAGCCCTCCGTGATGTGATCTGGATGCAGCATCCAGAGCCCAGGGCATATCAGCTGAGCCTCAGTCAGCTGGTGTCATGGGACTTGGCCAGAACGAGAGAAGTAATTTCAGAGCAACTGAGGATAATTGGGTTGTGGGGGAAGAAGGGAAAGGGATGGAGGGAGGACAACTGAGCAGATATCTAACCTATTATAATTTTAAACAATAACTTGATTATAAAGTCTCTGGGAGAATTTTAAAGCAGTGTTTGGCAGCAGCCTGTTAATATTACGAGCTGAAACCTGACACCAGAGTCATCTCATCATTAAATCCCCTCTGTGTTGAATGCGCTTCCTTGAATGCTAACTCCAGTGTCATTATCCCGGTCAATCTTTCTGTCCCTCACTACAGCTACTGTTGTGGCTTTATACTTCAGCAGTATAAAATGCTTAGAGCTCAGAAATTATTAGTCCAGTCTAACAGTGGTCCCAGGCCCAGAGTATCAGATTCATTTTCAATAAACTCTTGACACTGACACTCCATGGTGTGTAGTGTTGCCAAATTTTAAACTCAAAAGAGAAATGAATGCAAGATAAATAAACAGCAAGATTTTGGCAAAAAATAGTAAATACAGGCACCCTGGCTTAGAAAACATGCTAAGCTTTTGAACAGTTTTGTTTTAGAAAAGGAAGACTGTTTGAAAAGGATCCAGGGTAAATGTTTTTGGTAGAGAGAGATACACAATTAACAAGGGTGACTTTATCTCCCTTGTTCTATATGCTTTTGAGGGTTGTTTTTCAAGTTAGTAGTGCAGGAAGTGCCAAGGGGTGTCATGTCCTCAAATGAGAGGGCATCAGGATGCTCTGCAAGTATGTAAAAAATGTTATTTGTGCCAATGATAGTCTGCAAGATTAAAAAAAAAAAAGAAGCTGACAAAATAGCTTTCTCAGCTGGACCTCAAAAACTCAATGAAGGCTGTGGCCAAGAAAAAAGGCACCTCTCTCCATTCAATGGTAGCTAGGGTCCCGGGAATAAGGAGATGACAACCAGCTTGCTGCAGGGTTTGCTTTTATAGCAGACCTCTGTTAAGATGGTCGTTTGCGGTCTGGCTGGCACAGAAGGTATCAGGTATCTCACAATGAATGGAATCCCTATGGAAGTGTTGACTGTAAATGGGGAGAGCACCAGATGGTGTGGGTCAGGGAGAGATTCACTGAACCCAGCAGAGCCGTGTCACTTCACGCTCACTCCCAGTGAGCCTGATAGCAGTTCAGAAGGTTTTCCTGGAAATCTCAAAAGAACAGGCTGTTATGGAATTTTTGTGTTTCTACATCTGGCTGGATGTTGATTTTTCTGATTTTCAGCAGAAAGCCTGGAAGGGGGAGAGAGAGAACCTTCCTCTGCCAACTACTTATCCAAACTGGGGAAATGCAGTAGGGGAAATAGCAGTCAGAGGTGATTGACAGAAATCTTTAGAAGGATAAATCCTATCAGGGAGGCTGTTTGTGTGTGTGTGTGTGTATGGCTTGGATTTGTGTCAACATGACATCATGCAGAAAAGAGAGGTAAATCAGCCCAGGTAAAGCATCATAGTAATGCAGTTCCTGACATTTGAGCTCCTTTTTTTAGAGGTGGTGCCATTTGGTCTCCATAGCAATGCACTGTGCTGTGCAGAAATCCTCTCAGCATGTGCATAAGATAAAAACATGGAACCGTATCTAGATCTCTGCTAATCCCCCAACAGGAACAACACTGGGACGCTACTACAGGCGAAATACTCCTGAACAACATTTTTCCTAAAGTCACACTCCTATCCAGCATTATCTGTAGTATTTGAATGCTCTAGCCTTCCTTGTGTAACCTTTTCCCTTTTCCTCTTTCTCCTTCTCTCCTGCCTTCAAACATGCAGGAATTTATGGTTTTAAGGCCTGAAAAGAGAAGGCAAGCTCCTTCCGTCTTGCTTTTCTCTCTGAGGGAGGCAATTAGCCCCTCTGAAATACTGTTAGATTCTGACTACGCACTCTCAGGTGAACTCTCCCATACTATGCAGAAATTGCACTAGTTTTTTCTCATCTATCATTTCTCTTTAATGCTGAAAAATGGTGACTTGATGTAGAACAAGCAATTGCTTTGGTGGGAAAGATCATTGAGTTTAATGCAGAGGAAACTAATAGAAATCTCATCAATAGATTCCAGAGAAAACTCTAGGCAATTCAGTAAAAGTCTAATTAGCTTAATTAACTGAATAGACATGGAATTCCTCGCTACAGAATTGTTTCTTTTTTAATATTTTGGGTAGCTATTCTTTGAAATTTTACAATTTGACATTTGAATCAGTAAAATGGGTTACTATTGTTACTATACTTTTTAGGAAGGTAGAGAAGACCTATTTCACTACTAGGTCAACTCTGCCTGTGCCTGATTGTTACAGAAATATAAAGAACTGTGAGCTAACTGTTAGCTAAAAGCTAAATATCTGCTTTTATTCTTCTGTGATTGTCTGTACTATGAATGGATAAACATATAGCAAACACTGGCACAGCCTTTATTTGTAAACCAAGTATGAACAATGTAATTCATAGGATTATGAAGGTGGTAGGATTAAAGGACTTCTCTGTAGGACTGTCTTCATAGCTATGATAAAGCAAATATAGAAATCACAGTTCTGGTAAATGTACTTGCTTTGCAGTGCTTATATTATTCTTTACTATCCATGCCTTCTTAACTTTCTTACATCTCATCAATTGCAAATGTGCCAGTCCATCTGTATATCTAAAGTTAAACAGAGCTTTGTTAGATACTGGTATAATTATAAATGTTATTTTCTGGATTAATAAATCAAGTTCTTCAAACTTTGTTCCATCAGTAAAGGGGAACACTGGAGAGGCAGTCAAGAAACAGCTAAAGTAGATATGTATATTCTCAGCTCTTTTGCTCCTATCATTTGCTGTGTGCAGAATATTCTGCCCTGGGAGACCAGATCATGAACGGCAGACACCAGCTTCACTAGAGAGCACTCTCTTGTTTTTTTGAATGTGATTCAGAATCACAAGGCAACTTGGCATTTTAGAAGAAGAGTTAAGTCGGTTGACAAGACATTATGTGCTCAAAGCTGATGAAATGAGTTTTCATTTTTATCACATGTATCAACATTTTTCATGTTAATTAACCTTCCTGTAACTTAAATGCAACAGTGCAGCATTCCTTTCAGAGACCTGCAACTCTGTTTTATTTTCAGCTTCTTTCTGGAAACAAAGTTCACATTAAAACTTTCTTGATCTTAAAATACATTAACCATGGTCTTTCAGTTACAGTACTGACATACAGAGTTGATTCTCCTTCTAGCTTGTTTAGATAGTCTAACAGTTTTTCTTTTGGAATCAGAAACGAAATTGCAAATTTTGAAAGCATTTTTCTGAATGGGACACTGTCTTCAAAAGAAATATCCAAAAGTACTCACGCTAGAGCCATGATCCCATAAGGCCAAGAACGGATTTCCAGCCTTTTCGGGCTTTTTATCTCATCTGATGTCAACACCATCCCACTGTCTGACTCCTGAGTAGCAAAAGGAAAAGAACATCAGCAGAGTGCCAAACGATCATCACAGCATGGAGCACTTTTAAATTAAAGATGACTTGCCACGGGGAGAGTGTGGAGAAGAGTCAGGCTAAACCACTACTAAAGTCAGTAGAGAAGGAAAGCCAAGGACCTAGTTAGAATACCAAATTCCAGCTGTCTTATTTTGTGATGATATCGCTTTTAGGCAAGTTGATAGAACTTCACCTTATAAAACCGTCTCCAGCTACAGAGCAGACAAAGCAAGGGCAGGAGAATGCAATTTCTCCTTCACTGTAGCCTGTAGAGGTTGGGGATCCCTGTCTATGCAGTTATCAAGGAGAGACTGCCAACAAGGTGGCCATCTGTAGATGTTATATTGTAGTGTTATATACTGATACTTGTGTACTGGAACTAATGTAGGAGCTACCAGCTATTCTATGTAATCACAAGATTCCAACCAACAACCTGGAGGGCAAATGTTTGCATCAAACCTCTCAATTGTCAGCTATTTAGTAAAGTGCTTAACACATAGATATGTTCCAGCTGGTATATGAAATTAAGCCCATTCTTCAGAATATTCTCTTATCAGGGCCTATATTATCAGCTTTTATCCAATTGTTCCTCATAATGCTGCTATTTAGCCTGAGAATATTTGCCTTGTTTTTGTGATGATAAAATTTTTGAGCTGTATTTTGAAAGAGGACCCTTAACATGAACATATTAAAAAATAATTTGACATTTTCAAACTTGAAATTGATATCAAGCATGACGTATGGATACCATCTAGGTAGGATAGCTGAGATATGAATGGACAGAAATTCATAAAGAATATATCCAATAATACTGGCTAGACTCCTCAGAGAAAAAGTACCCTAAATACCTACTAGAAATACACTACTAGAAACGTTGAAATTTTAAGGAAGTGTAAGTTCAGTATCATTTTGGCAAATCCAAGTGCTTTGCGAAGATACAGAGCCTAAAAAGCTCATTGTACTTTGGTTATGGATTTTTTTTTGAGCCGTCCAACAGAACTGTCTTCATTAGTTTTAAAGTTGATGTTGTGTTCCACTGCTCTTAAAGTTAAGTCTCGAGGTTGCAATTAAGATCAAGCTGTTGTTGTGCTAAGTGCTACACAAGTTCACAGACGTGCACAGTCCTTGTTTTAGGTAATTTAAAAAATATTAAATGTTCTGGGGGAGTTCCTTTGCATTTGAAATATTTTGTGGTGCTGGAAAGTTGCATGCCTGTCTGTCAAAACTAAGAAAACAAAAGATTTTTACAAGGGAAGTGAAAATCTACTTAGTCTTATTTTACCATTCAAACTGATTGAAAGAGAAAAAATAATCACAGCAAACAATAAATAAAAAGCAAAAGCTTTTTTATAAATGCTTTGGTAATATATCACCTGTTAATAAGATCAGTCTGGAAACTGGTTTTCAAAGTATAAAGTAAAATCCTAAATTAAGTCTGTCAAAAACTCGGTAGAACCCATCTTTTCTCTCTGTTTTTTGTCTTTACTATTTTCCCTTCAAATCTGTGGTCTACAAACAATTTATCCGAGTGCTGCTTTGCATTTTGCTTACAGAAAAATTGTTAAAAGAATATCAACAGAGACTACAGATAAGTAGTACAATTGCAGAAGGTGTGGTAGAGCACTTTTAGAGTTCCTGGGCTACTTGAAATAATGACCTAATCAGTATTAATGTCTTGATATTTAAGATAATTTTAGTAACCCAAGTGCACTTACTTTGTCCAAAAGTAGATCACACCACAATTTTGCTTTAAAAGATCCTCACTGAAATATCACATTTATTTCTGATCTGTTAATGCATTATTACCCTTTTTTGAAACTTTTCCCCTTTCATGTAAGGACTTACTTTAAAATGCCATGAACAGGGAGCGTTTAGGAAAGTAATGCTCATGCTGGCAGCAGTAATCTTACTGATACTGGATCTATTTAGTAAATGTCTTTGTGTGCTTCAGAGGGACAGATTTTTATCCTGCAAGAGGAAAGATACAGGAGCCAGAGAAAAGTCTAAGCCTTCTCGTTCCTAAGATGCACTGATAAAGGCACAGAAATTACATCTGGCAAAATACTAGGGAGTAATGGCCATCAATTTGTGCTAACAAGAGTACAGATGAGAAATATGCTATATTTGTCAAGGACATGAAATATGTCCAGGACAAGTTGTAGCTAGAGACTTGACCCTTCCCAAGAGAGTTGGTCTGAGGAATGGCTCTGTCCAAGAGGGAGTCTTAGCTGGCACACGGGGGACAGTTCCGTGACTAGCAGAGTAGACAGGCTGGCATGTTTCTGTAAAACTGTACATATCTTTCTTTTCTTTTGCTGCTCTAGCCATCTGACGCTTGCCCTCTTCCTCTGTTAGAAGGTTTCCTGAGGGCTTCATGCTTGCTTCCTAAACTTCGATCCGCTTCAAACATGCGTGCGTTACAAAGATCCCTCCTTAGTGGCACAGAATCTGTCATTGAGGCAAGTGGTGTGGACTGCATATGGCACTGCAGCCAGTGAGTACCTGAACCATAGAGGAGTTGGGTTGTTTGAAGTACTGGTGGGGTTTTTTTTGTTTGTTTGTTTTTGTTGGTTTTTTTTTAAATAAGGAAGAATAAATAGGAAAAAAACCCCTCTACCTTTGGAATCTGTAATTTCAGAGGAAGCCAACAAGCAGAACCATCATTCTGTAACAAAACAAGCTTTTGTTTTCCACTGGAGTGAAAATTAAACTGTTCAACACCCTCCCACCCTGCAGTGCCATTAAACTAGCAATAAATATGTTCACTTAGGGTGGGGAAAATCCAGGATTAAAGCCCTTTGTGTGAATCAAGTAGAGCGGGAACTTAAATCTTGGTCTTGTTCATCCAGAACTGAATACCCTCACCACCACCAAGTTATTGGCTGTCTCAGCGAGCCAGAATGAGTTCTGGACACATTTCCTTCAAAAGGCTCCATTTCAATGAGCTGCCATTTTCTTATAGGGGAAAAAACATATTGAAATATGTAATATAAAGCCCCTTAGCCTGATCAAAGCCTGGATAATCATGCATGAGCTTCTCTTTAAATTATTTGTTAAACTAAATGCAGGTCCCTCTTTGTTGTCACACAGACCTATGTGTGAGATGCTAGGGCCAAATCTTCTGCCTGATTTAAAGCCTTTTCTTACCAAACAGATTTCAAAAGCTCTAATAACTGTTTCTGGTGCTGGTGACAAGTGATCTGTGAACCTGGTAGAGAAGGATGCAGTCACCTCACTTACCTCATGCATCACTTTCTCCTTTTCCACTGGCACCTCATCAAATGTCTTCACACTCAGTGGTCGCTTCTTGCTGTTGTTACTGAAAGCAAGAAAGTTGAGGGGTCAGCATAAAACCCAAGCAGATGCTGCACAAGTTGGTAGCTCAATTAACATCCCTGACAGCTCAGTTTCCTGGACCAGTCTTCTTTTTTCATTTCTTGTAAATAAACAACAATGCCTTGACAATTTGTCCAAGTCCTTTAAAACAGCCTTACTGAGAGAGGACAACAAACAGTGCCCAGATATATCAAATCTTTCTTTCTCTCCCGCCCCTCATATATATTTTTCTTACCCAGTTTCCACTGCACTCCAGCGATTAACACACTTGTTCAAGTTTTCTTCCACAGGGCAAGTTTTGGAGTTAGATTCTCCATCAGGACACAAGGTGATGTTCAGTGGAATATAGTCTTTACCATCCTATTAATTAATAACATAAAAGAACACGAAGCTGGTAAAGATCATTTTGTACTGCATCTCAGATGTAAAAGGTTATTGTATTCTACAGAGCTTTACTGAGAAAGGACTAGATTTTATTTTAACTTTATGATGTTTCTTCAAAGTGATTATGATGTTCTTCACAACATGTGGAAGTTAGAATGCATAGCTTTATCCAACATTTACCGTGTAGGCAGCTCTGTATGAGGAAAATGATTCACTTTGGGAAACCTACGATGTAGCATGACTGAAAATGGTCTCTAACATTCCAGTACTCATCTGCGGTTAGCGTGTTTCTCTTCCAGGCATCTCAGTCTGAGCTATTGCTTCACTGGTCTTTATAGCAGTTACAACGCTTCTAAATGTCCCTCACATATGGCACAGCAGTGCGACGGTTGTATTGAGGGTGTCAATATATGTGCATCCAGTTTAAAAGTAGCTGGCTTTGCTGACTTTCACAGCAGCATCTTTGATGAGTTTGCAGCAATTTCTTTGTGATCATTACTACCTTCCAGATGTGTGGCTATTCTGCCTCAGTGAAAGTGAACAGAATTTCACTGATCTGCACTTCAGGAAAGCAGTCCTTTATGTTGTCATTGCGTTGGCCTCTTTGGGATTTCCAAGGGACCAGCCTAAGGGACACCTAAATCCAAGTTTAAGCCACGTGTTTGGGAGAAGGGAGGGAGCGGCATGAAATCACCAAACCCCTGTGGCCAATACAACTTTAACAGATTTTGGAATTGGTAAAGGAATATTGCCTATGTATTGACTTTTTGCTTATGTTCAACTTAAGGAGTTGCAGCTTAGCAAGAGACAGTCCTTAAAATGGTAGCCTTAAAGGATTTTATTTCTTGTCCTTACAAGAAATCGATGCTGTGAGTTTAATAGAATTCAGTACACATCTTAATAAGCTCTGCATTGTTATTACACCCCTGCAGTAATCTTCAGAAATTACTCTTTCTGTAAGTCCTAAAACTATTTGTCCAAATTTCCCTTTGCTTGATTTTTTTTTTTTTTTTTTTTTTTTTAAATTTTGAGAAGCAGTTGTGTCCTATTCCCTTTTCATAATTTTTATGTCTCCTTAATCTACTTTGGTTATAGGATAAAACTCACAAGCTCTTCGTATTGCAAACTGGGCCCTCTTCAACTTAGCTTCACTAAATTTGTTTACAAACAAGAAGGAGCTGGAGGAGAGTTTTTGATTTCTTCTTAAATTAAATTGACAGTTACATAACTGGTCTGGTTGTTTTTACTGAAGAAGAAAACAACTGATTTAACTATTATGAAATTAATAATTATGTAATTGACTTTCTGAGCCTTACACTGCATCATTTTAAAGCTCCTAAGAGTACTGATGAACATAAGCTCAGAAAATGAGAGAGAAAGTTCAGACCAACTACTGGCAGTTTACTATGTTGGAATCTAATTAAAATTGTTTGTGAGATAAAGCACTATTGTTCCTCTAAGGGGCAACTGAGCCTTTTTTTAATTAATGTAAGTTTCTGCTTATTATGGATGGATAAACATCTAGTTTTGAAATATAATCCCCTTTGAATAGTTAACATTTTCTTTACCCATCCCAGCAGCCATTTTCCTTGTGACCTCTGTTATTAAGTCAAATCTAATATTACTGCTCAACATAGTCTTTACCTGTGCACACACATACACATATCTACATAGACATACATCTATATGTACACATTTGTTGAAGAAACATTTGTATTGCTGTACCTGCTGTACATTGGCTTGAAGAAGATCTCCTAAGCGCTCCACAAGCTCAGTGAAAGTAGGCCTCTCTGTGGGTACTCCATGCCAACAATCCAGCATTGTCTGGTAGCTAGATAAAAAGCGCAAGTATTAAGAAAGGAAGAGGATAGGAGCTTTGCTTCCAAACTGTTTCTTTCTGCTGCTGCTTGTTTTGGTCATTGTTTGGATAGTTTTGGATTAAGACAGGTTCAAATCTCCATGTGCTGAAATTCTATTCTAGTTTCCACGTGGGATGCTTTTTCCTTTTATATTCCTGCATCAACTGAGCCTGTAGGATTTTTATTTTCACCTAACTTAAAATTTGACTGATAGGCCCCACTGATATTGCTGCAATACGTCATAGTTATGGATGCCTAGTCTCTGTCACAGAATTGGAAATCAAGGCAGACACAGTAGTCTCCTGAACTGAGATTCATGAACTACAACTGACAGGGGGAGATCTGTTAATCTTGTTGTTGGCAATGGTCAAGCTGACTTGGTCTGTCTTTAGCATTCGTTTGTGGTATCAGGACACCCAAGATATGCACAGCTACAATGTTTACTGAAAACAAAATACAAAATACATAGCTGTCATCTGATGAGGTCTCCTTCCTCCTCCACACTTAAGTACAATCTCTTTTGTAATACTTCAGTGACATGTATCAGCTCTCAATACAAAACCAGGAGCTCTTACACTTCTGGAGTAGAGTACTCTGGAGATCTCATCCGGGTTCCTTCTTTGAGCCGTCGGCAGAAGTCCTCATCTATCTGCACTCCAGGGTATGGTGAGGCACCTGATGGGAGAAATAAGCAGGAGGCTCCAGAATGGCATAATCCTTATTTGCCAGTCTAGTGAATTAAATACATATCGGTGATATCTGTTGAGCATTTGAGATTACCTAGAGTCTGACAGTAAAAGAAGCTAGAGCAAAAAAGGGGTTGCCATCACTTACTATCTAAATGTTTTGTTTGGAAACCCATTACAGACTCACTCTGTCTCTTTAGAGATTTCAACCATGCTGTCTCCTCTGCGTTCGTGATATAGCCAGGACCACTCCAAGGTAAAATATGTCAGAAAAGAAATAAATTTTATTAGTTTGAGACTTTAAATGACCTCTTGGTCAGTGGTGGAAAAGTTCCAGCTCATTCAGTTGGTTACATTTCCAAACTGTCAGTCTGCCAATATCCTGCACTAGGTGAATACATATGAAGTAAATAAGTCCTGCTCATCTTTCTTTGCCTTAGAATCTCTGGCCTCACTGACCTCTGTGAGTAAGTGCAGAGAAAGCTGTAGGCATCTGACTCCTGCAGAAGGCTGAGAGAATCTTGCAGTTCAACCTCAGGTATGGAATTGCAGTCCTTCTCTCCTGGTTCAACAATTTAGTATTGTATATGTATTATGCAGCCCTATAGGTAAAATGTTGTGAAAAATAACCTTCCAAAATTTTTAGCCTTGTTTTCTTTTCTGAGTGTGAGTTCAATGCTGCTTATTTTCAGGGCCACGCAATTGTCAGTGTGAAACCTGGGAGGACAGTTCATGGCAACTGTAATTGCTTTTGAGAGGTAGGCTTCTGTAAAGGGACCTAGCAGTCATCAAAATGAAGGAGTGAGACTTATTTCATTTTATAAATGGTTATTTTCAGAGGAATGACTAGTATAAATGTATGTATGCATTGAATCCGCTCTTCTCTTCAACTGATGAGCAAGTGGGGGCTTTTCAGAGGTTGTGATCTTTGTTGTATGACATCTGCACTTTATGATGCACCATAAATAAGGGGAAGAAATATATAATTTGAGAAACTGCTCTGGCATCTGAGTAATCCAGACATCATAGGTGAAATTCAAGAGACGTCCACACTGAAATTTGAAAGATTACTGAACCTATTGTAGATAGACCTAAAAGGTCTGCAAGCTTTCCTCCTTTCCTTCTCAGCAAAGGCTTCACGTGCAGTGCAACCCTTGTCTTCCACATTTTGGCATCCTTGAGGCTGGATGGTGAATTTGGAAAAAATTTAATCAAGTCTTAACATAGGGGATTGAATGGAATCTGGATCTGTATCCAGCCCTCGAGGAATCTCTATATGATTTACTGTCTATAACATTCCTGCCTATTTCCTGCATTTTTTTTTTTCCCCATTTGGAAACACCATCACGTGCTGCGCACTTGGGGGCACAAGCACAGCAGAAATCTTTTGGATAAAAGCAGTGAAGAGGGTGCCAAAATGTGGCTGTTTCCAGAATTATTCTACGTGGTGAATCCGACTGCTCAATCTGCAAAACTATGCACTGGGGAGCAAAGAACCCGGCAACTTCCTAAGAGGGCATCTCGACACAGCAAATAGGCTCCGATGACATTCAAAGCTCAGGGATGCTTAGCCACAGCACATCTGAATTCCCTTGATGTGCAAGTTTCAGATCACAGTATTAAGTGATCTGGAGCTATGTAGATTGGAAATAGTCAGTAGCATCATTTCTGCTTTATATCTTGATTTTCCTTCCTAGTTTTGTCTTTGGCCTGTCATTATGATCATAATAACCTGGTAATTAACTGTTTAGCTCACATGGCATCACCCTTTAGCCAAAGATCTCAAAACAGGCTTCTATCAACTCACAAGATCTCTCTGAATATATAGATGGATAGAAACTATAGTGTCACTTTCCCACTGTGACAAAGGGTAAGGGTAGGAACAGGGTCTGGAGGCACTGACTGTTGTCCAAGCTACTAAACTGCTCTCTGTGTACATCTTCTGAACTACCACTAGCTTGTTTTTTCATCGGTACAGGCTTATCTTTACAAATCTTTACAAGATACTGAGGCTTCATGAATTACATCTGTGACTTGCCCAGTTGATTCTGTATCTATTTAACAGTGGCACAGCCTCTCAAGAGAAATGAACATAAGCCTCACTTGATCTAGTTAGCCCTAGATTGTCAGTGTACTAGGGCAACACTGAAAACACCTCTCATTAGAGAAGAGATGGGCTGCATGGCCTTTTTCATTCATTTCTGACTGCATTATGCGATTGTTGTGCCATCACGGCCAACCGATTTCCATTAGGAGGAGCTGAATGGAGTCATGCCATTGATGAATGGCTGTTTTACACTGACCATTCTGATGTGCAAAAGAAACCCCTCGGTTTGCTGAGTATCACTGGCTGGATCCGGCTCATGAGCACAGCAGAGGTTATTGATAAGAATTAGTCTTGCAAATACATTGATTGGGACTGAGACCTTGAGGGCAACATGGTAGAATTGGGTGAGGAGGGATGGAGAGTTCCACTTGATCTCACAATCTGAGTTACCTTTCTTTGATTACATCATTGATCATATCAACTGCAATATGTTGGTGACAGCAAGTACAGGGAAGGCAAAGAAGTATAATTTTTTTGCAAGATCTTTTGGTAGTTTATATTTTGAGCGGTGCTGGCCTCCTACCAGCTGGAGGCAGCTCAGATCTCAAAAGCAAGGCACTCTCCCTTTTCCACCTCTACTCACCATTGTACCTCATCTGGACTGTGTGATAACCCTAATAACTTGGATTTGGGATGCTGAGACAGCTTTGGAGAAATGTAGGGTGAAACATACGGTGTAAGGTCTACACATGATGTTTTCCTTAGGGGAAATCTCTTCCAAAATGCTCAAAGATGTGGCATGCATTGGATATGGTAGCACTCTTTTGATCTTCGTTTTATTTTAGTAGGATAATAAGATGCTGATGTTATACTACCAGGCACTGCTTGTTTACATAATCACCTTTGATTGCTTTTTGAACAGTGCACATTTAAATTCCAGGAGACACCAATGTTCTGTAATGCACCATGTAAGTAATTTCAAGATGTATTAAACATTGCTGGCATTACCTGACATGAGGAGTGCTGACCCCATTAAATAATGCAAAGCTTAATGCAAACTCAGCCCCAAATGAAAATTAACAGTCTCTCAAGTCCTGATTTTTCTGTGTATCACCAAAATGGATCCAGTCTGCCAGCCTTTCTGGAGGAAGCCTGTCATGCTTCATACAACTTCTGACCCTGAAAGGGCCCATGTCCAAACCAAACTGTGCATTTTGCTAATCAGTATCTTTTCCTTTTTTAGAGGGTGTTAAGTCTGTGGGACCCAGTAAAAAGCAGCAGTTGTAAATGGGAGCCAAAATATACCCTGTAGCAACGACAAATAACTTCCATCCCCTGGCTCTCAATGATCTGTAAAACTTTTATATAAGAGAGTTCAATCAGTGACACAAATCCTTAATTAAATATTTATCGTGTGAGCTGCAGATGTGCGTAGCGCCAAACCACAGACATGCCTGGATGATCTGTATGAAAAACCCTCTTAGAGAAAATGACTGCTTTTGAATCTGTGCCACGGATTGAAGAAAGTAGTTTGTGATCTACGTCATAATGAGGGCAGAGGCTGCTCTACGGATGGCAGCCCTTGGGGTAATTTAGTAGATTCCTCTGAATTCAGAAGAGAACAGTCTATTGTTCCAAGTAAGCACCTTCATTAAGTAAAGAGGCTATGTAAAATTAAAAGAAACCAGATAAATTATTTTTTAAAATAGTTAAAAATAGAGATGAATTTCAGTGACTATATTTTAATTTTTATTAGTCTTCAGTATTAAAGGCCAAATGACCCAAAGTTCACATCTGTTAAACTCTGTCAGGACCTTTGGGAATGGTATAAACAAGTTGCCTTCTGCAGTGGTCCTTGCCATTCATCAGTATTCAGTTCATTTTGTTCCTTGGAGATGCCCAATGGAAAGACTGTCCCCTCTGAGTGTGTCTCAGCATTAGCATGCTAATGCTAATACATCTTCTTGAATCATCTATTAGAACTGGGGAATTGCCGGTGCTTCTGGAGCTTTGTCTTTCTGTGGTGGTTCAAAACACATGCAGCAGGTGATGCTGTTACAGGGCCATGGAGGTGTTACACCGAAGTAACAAAACTCAAAATAAATAGGACTGAGCGCTGGAGAAAGCAATAACTGCCACTTGTTTTAACCATTTGTGTATGAACTTTCTGTTTTGCATGCTGATACAAACTAGAGAACAGTCCAAATCAAAGACTTGGATTGAAATCAGGTTGTGATCTTTGCAGCCAGCCCTAAATAAAGATAAGGATAGACACAGCTCCAGACTTTGCTTGCAGATCTCGACTTGGCATCTGGAGCCCGATCATTCATTTCAACAGATCCATGAACCAAAAATAGTAGGAGATTACAGAGTTTGCTTTAAAATTCAGCAGCTTAAGTCGACAATGCTTCTTGTTTTCTTTTGTCTGCGAGTGCTGATTAAAAAGCCAGAGCTGACATTCCTGAATTCCCTCAGGAAAACAAAACTTGCCACTCTGCAAGGAGAACTTGAGAGCGGCAAAGTCCAACTGTCTGAAGACTGCTTGTCTAAATTTCAGGTCTTTATCTGCTGGACAGTAACCAGATCTCAGTGAGACTGAGATTTCTAACAGCACTATAAGATGAAATCTATAGTACATAAAGAACACCATTACTGTTCTTTCAAAAATGTTGTGGCTTGCAAATGATATGGCCAGAAGAGTATGCATTCTACCTGTTTGCTGCCAAAATGACTTATACAGAGTCCAGCACTGGTTCTCATATCAACCTGATGGCAGCTGTTGCCAATAATTTTTTTTTACTTAGAAAATCTTAGATTTTGTGGGGAAGATAATCAAGCTGGGATAAAATGTCATGTGGGCAAACTCCCTTGTATTCCATGGATTGCCACTAGCAACATCAGACCACTATGTCAACAGTAGTGTAATCCTCTGCAACCTTTGAGCTGTGTGGTTTCCTGAAGCAAACTGCTTAGAGGAAAATATGGTTTGACAGGGAAACTTCTTCATTGCTCTCAAAGAAATGTTTCACTCCCGAGCAGCAGAGGCTTACATTATCTCTCTGCTCTGTTGGTTTCAATTACAAATGTTAGGTCCAGGGTTTTGGATTTTGTTTTGTTCCCCCCTCCCCAATATTCACTGTTTTCCTGTACTTTGCCAGGTGGAGTTCTCATTGACTTCAGTCTAGTGACTTTATTTTACACCTGATCTGCACTGTGCACTTGTACTAACTGAAATAGAAACATGGCACCATGTTATCACCTTTTGTTAAAAGCTTTTCTTAGCAATAGAGCCATAAATTAGGGGAAAAAAGGGTTTTAAACCATTCTTACCTAGAGAAAATATTTCCCATAGCAGCACTCCAAAAGACCATACGTCACTCTGCGTTGTGTAAATTTTGTCGAAAATAGCTTCTGGAGCCATCCATTTGAGCGGAAGTCTTGCCTAAGTGCAAAAGACACAACATCTCGCTAGAACTGTTGTTACTAATCTGCCCAAGCCCTAGGGGAATAAAAACTTGAGATTAGCATTTCAAGTTTCTTCCACTTACATCTCCTTTCCGCACATAGTCAGGGTCTTTATAAATATCCCTGGCTAGTCCAAAGTCACAGATCTTAACCACGTTGTTCTCTGAAAGAAGGATGTTCCTTGCTGCCAAATCCCGATGAATGCACTGTGAAGGAATGAGGACAAGCAAGATCAGAGGGTCTGCCTTGGTCAACAAGCCACTGCTAGAGTTGAAAGCATGAGACCTTTGGAAATGAAAAGATAAATGAACTTTTGTTGTGAGCAGGTTAGAGAGGGGAAATGTGTGTGGGATTCTGCTGCAAATACACTGTTATATGCAAAAGAGAAAATAACTCAGGGAACAAGCCAAGTATTACAGTTATTTTTCTGACTTTTCTATGTGAAATAACTTTCACAGTTATGGTGAGGTGGAGGAAGTGCCGTTTTCCAGTTAATTGTTCTGCTGCAAATTTGGGAGAGGTCAAAAAGCAGCTGCAGCCACATTTGCAAATGCAGTCCCATGAGCGTGTGTGAGACTGGGGTAATTGCACATAGGCAATTACTGTGCTCATGATCTCTGTGTGTGCTAGCCTGGTAGCTGCGTGGCAAGTGCAAGCTCTCAGTTTTGTGCATACTTTGGCCTGTGTATTACATTCAATTTATTTCAAAACCAGGTGTTCCACAGGCTACAAACATACTTCTTTTTTTTTTTATCTAAAAGAGGTGCTAACTTTGCTGATAGTCTCCAACATTACCAACAAGCTAAATAAATAGCTGTATGCTCCCTCTTCATTTTTCAGTAGTACTTTTGTTGACCATACTAGAAGGCTCTTTCTCTATGAGAAGCCTTTTCTGCATTTATTTATGAGACAGTTCCGCGAATTGTGTTACAATCTCTATTCACTCCTTCTATCTAAACTCTCATGTTACAGATACCAGTCCTTGTAGCCAAGAACATGATGGATATTCCTTCACAACTCCTTTAGTGCTACTTATTGCTTAACCACCAGAGCTAATGTGATCTCCAACACTTTAATATAAGAGCAAAAAGCAGATTACTCAGGCTCAAAAGTATATTTGGATTTCTTCATATCAGATACTCATGATTCTGTGGAAGAAGTTCAGCCCTGACATTTTAATGAGCTCACTTTTCGGGAGGCGAGAAACTCCATGCCTTTTGCCACTTGGAAGCTATAGCAAATCAGATCCTCCAAAGTCAGGGGCCGCTTGTACAGATCCTCAGCATCTAGGAGAGATCACAGACACAGCAAAACACTAGAGCAACAGCTATAAACTTTTTTGGCACTGGTGCCACTTGCATGCTGATGACCCCAGCCCTGCATCTGAGTATTGTTACATGAGTTCTCTACTAGGATTACAACTCTGGTTTAGGAACCACTGACCTAGAGGCAGAAGATCAGATTATTAAAAAAGTTCCATCCAACATTAATCATGTCATTTAGCTATGGGGAAAACAACATCTGGGGATAAAAGTGAGGGAAACTATTTATAGTGAGTGAGTGATGAGACTGGGGACAGACTGGCCCCACAAATCTTCTGGTAAAATATTGCTATTACTCCTCTTACACAGCAAGAGCAGCTTTTATATGCATACATTATTGCAAATCTCTTTTTGTGAGAAAGTTGGAGTGAGGCATGGGCAAGAGAAAGAATTTGCAATTTCAGGAACAAGTCAAGCTGTGTAAGGGCTTGTAAAGTGTGTGACAGTGTATGTGACACTAGCTGAGTAACAGAAATCTTTACAAGAAAAGAACTGGGATTAGGTAGGTTTCTTTTACCTTCTTCATCATCTTCTGAATCACTGTAACTCTTATCTTCAATAAATCCTGAGCTGGCAGAGCTTCCTGTGCTGGCTACACTCTCAAGGCGCCTCTTGATCAGTTCGGTCAAATCACTGTTGGACTCATCCAGACTTTTCTCTGCTTGGTCAGAGTTTTCCTGGGACTAGAAATGGTAGAAAACTGATTTTTCGCTTTTTATGATGCAATGCCTGGGCATTCAAAATATGTAAAAGAATGGCATATGGAGAAAGTGTCCTCTAGAGATGAACTCAAAACATGTTTGAACATGATGTTCCCTGAATAGCAGAACTAATGAAGCCTGGTTTCCTATTTATTAATACAGAACCTCCCATTTTACTGATAGCAATATTCCACCATAAAAGTCAGCTGGAAGCTGGCCAGGTGAGACTGATAGATGAGCAGAGAGATATTATAATTCTGTACCTCTTGCTTTCTTAGGAAACCATGCTAAAAATCACAGTTCAAGGTATGTGCATGATGTGCACTGAAATGCATCTGTCTCACCCTCTCCTGGGGAGTGAGACATAACCAGTCCCTGCAATTCATGAAAACAATGGTGAGAAAAGAAATTTTGAGTGACTGTACCAGGAAAATCTTGTCTTACACAAAGTACCTTGTGTACTTTTGTGCCTGTACACAATAGGTATAATAATAATAATAATAGAATCATCCGGGAAAATAATCTTGGGGAGGCTCTGGTTTATGGCAGGGCTTAGATCAGAGAGCCCTTTCAATGCTGTATTTTCACAATGAGAGGCAGTCCCATCCTCTCCCCATCGCTGATTTCTGGCCTGCTGTGTCTTCCCCATATCCTAGCCCGATTTGTGCTAGCACAAATGTTTGTGTGGATGCAGACAACCATTCAGAAACCAAAACCATTTGGTTAGTTTTAATGCAGGCCATGTTCGTGATCCAGTTCGCTGCATACAACACAGACTTTTAGGTTGGCACAGGGGAAGGGAGAACACAGAAGATGGGAATGAGCAGATGATGGAAGGATGAGCCGCTTTCGGTAGCTGCAGGGGGTGGGCCTAGAAACAAAAATCCACAAATTGGGCTTGTATTTTGGGAGGGTTCACCTTCTCCTAGTTCAGTTAATACCAGTTTTTCTCTACTACTTTGTTGCCCCCTTTGTGCTGGGTAGTATCTCACGAGTAATTCCCTCTCTCTCTCATTAGAGTGCTTGAGTATTTGCAACTAATTCTTTACTGGGTGCTAGAAAAGAAGAGGATGGGAGAGAGATCCTACAGGGAAAAAAGTTTCCTTTTCTTGCTCATACAGATTGAAATGTGGTGAGAAAATAAAGTACCTATATAAATACCAAACTGTCTCAGTACCAATGAAGAAAAAAAATCCAGCTTGTGGTCAGCGGTTGTTAATTTTCTGCCTTGTGACTACGAGAAGCCTGTCATTTTTTTACCTTGTATGCAATGAAATCTCCTCGTTTTCCTCTTAGATAGTTGGACAGATTTCCATACTTGCAGTATTCTACTATGACCATTAAAGGACCTAAAAAGACAGTGAAAGTCAAATGAGTTTTGAAGCACTGCAAAGCACTTAATACTAACTTATCCTCATAAATCCTCTTCAAAATAAGTAAATACTGTCATTCCTATTATACAGATGAGGAAATTAGAAAACAGAGAAGAGATACTCCAGAAGCACACAATCAGTACTGGATATGGAGAGAAGGGAATATGGTACTGATTCTTAGTTTTCCCCATTAGATAGTAACAGTTGGTATCTATTCCTTATTTATAAACAAAAGAAAATTCAGAATGATAAATAAGAATATAGAATCCCATATGCTATTAAGGTTGTTTTATTCTATACATAGATCCATAGCGTGGAACAGTCTTCATTTTTCTCTGCTGCCTTCACAATTGTTTGTTTTGCGTGGAGCTGATGCCACTGGAGGCAATAAAAGTACACAGGATCATTGACAGATCTAAATCAAAAGTTGCAAAAATATTTAGTCTGAAGTTTTTGAAAGTCTAGAAAGTCCTATCACTACCTTCCTTTCTTATTTCTGTGCATACTCCTGTAGAGTTCAGTGCAATTGCTGCTTTTATACAACTATGCATATTTTTAACATCTGCTTGAAAATGCATTTATGTTTCAGTATGAGTGATTAGGAAAGGGAAAAGCTACATTCTCTGCCTTTAGCATAATCACTGCTTTTTGTAATCATCAAATGTAAGACATGGTGAAATCATGGGACTAGAATGCATATAAACGTGTATTATTATCAATCCTAAGCAGCCAGACTTTCATGTCCAGAAACCTTTTTCTGTCTAGAAGGTCCATAGTTCAGACTTAAGAGTTTGAACTTCAAAGGAAAAATGCTGAGAGCTGCACTTGGCCATTCGGGAAGGAGGCAGCTCTAAGCAGCACTTCTATCTGGCTATATCAGAAATGCGCTTACAGACTGGCACTGCAGCCTGCCCCCTTGGTCCAGTCTGACACGTACAATATTGACTGGAAAGGCTGAGAATAGCTGCAAGGGAGGGCCGAGGAGGGAAGAGTGAACCTTAGAGATTCTGGTTGCTGCATCCTGGCTGAGACTGGGTTGACGCGTACTGTTTGGAAGCAGATCGTCCCATTAAAAGGGAGATGGTGAATTCTAGTAATAATAACCAATAGCTGGCCGATAATAACATTGCGTATTTTTGCCAGGCTTTTTATTTGTACAAGTCCAAAGCACTGCTGGGTTGAATACACACCTTTGGGCTGTTCAGGACTTCCAGTTCCTATTGACTACAGCTGTAACATGTTCAGCATCTGATTACACTGTACTAGTGACTGCAAAAACACAAAATCTGGCCCAAAATCAGAGCTGCCAGTGGTTCTACTGCTGACCACACAACACCGCTCACTTAGGCTTAAAGGCAGCAGTGCTGGGATCTGGCAGTGCACAAGAGATGTCTGGGGGACATTGTTCTGAAGAACTTAAAGTTGAATGTCCCTCATGGATGCCCTGAGGAAATGCAGATTCCAGTATAGCTTTAAAGCTCCAGTTAGTGATTTATTAATGTTTTTGAAATACTTCCTAGACATGGTCTCTCCATATTTTATTTCCTCATTGTAAAGCTTATACTATGCATTAGTTCTAACTGCTTAACATCAGACACTCAGCCAAGGTGTTAAAATTTGTTATTTGTTATATTGTTAAAATAATATATGTGTATACTTAATATCAGTCTTCATCAGGGATACCGTTATATGGTTACATAAAACCTCACAAGGAAAGAGAAAGCACTGTATTCTGCAATGGCATTTTAATAGTAACTCTTATCCCAGTGTCTGTTTTGAGAGCTCAAGGCTATTTTTCTTTAGTCTGCATTTGCATTGCTCAAAGGTAAAACAAACCAGCGCCTGCCTCAGTGCCCTGCAAGGCCGTGCAGCACCGCTCTGCTCCATCCACTGCTCCCCAGAGTAATCAGTGGTTTTCCTAGGCAGCTAGCACGGAAGAGTGAGGGCTACCTCTTCACCCAGGAAGGCAATCAGGATGGAGCAGGCTGGAGGATGGGAAACTGAGGGACTCCCAGGAGAAGTTCCTCAGAGATTGGACAATCACAGTATTTGATCAGTTACTGAGATGTGTTTTACTAGGCAACTAGAACTCTGTGGCTGAATTAGTGCTTTGATTACAAACTATTGACCTCTTAGTAATGCTGTCATGTTTTAGGCACCTGTTTTTATTAAGCCACCTCATTGACTTGACAGGAGAGGAGAATCACCAGCATTCATAATGTTACTTCCCCTTTACTCACAGTCCCAAGCAAAGGCTTCTTGCTTATGCGTCTGAATCTTAAAACCCTCCTGCTAAAGCTGGCCATCCTCCCATACAAGCTTTTGGAGTCTGCAGTGCTACAACAATTCTACAAATTCCCTGTTCATGGCTCCCAGGTTACAGCAGTATCTGTGGTTGCTGGTTGCGCACTGCTCCTTGAGGAACTGGGAATATCTTGCTGGAGGGAAGATTTCTTTCCTGGCATCCTACCAGATCTACCTCACTGAAGTTTTCTTTTTTCCCCTGTGACTGGACAACTACATGTTCTTTGGGAAGATGATAGCTTCAGAGTCTCATATGACAACAGATGTGCACACCACCTCCCTTGCTCTTTCCCCTCCATTTATTTTACTCTGTTTTTTTTGTCCTCAGCTCTCCTTAATCTGTCCTTTGGGGATTGTTTTGAAGGTTGATTGTAAGCAGTAAAGAGGCATCTTTGAGAGTTGTTACCCTGAAATTACAGCACAGTATAGTAATAGTCAAGGATGCTTTGTATGGCACTATGGGACGGGATGTTTTAGTGACAAAGGTCTAAGATTTATGGAGTCCTTTGTTTAAGTCTGCACTTTGCAACAGATTCTTTGTATGATGTACAGCCAGTTGTGTCAGCTCAGCCCCTTGGAAGTCCATGCTGTTGCTCTGTTCAGCTTTGGACTGCCTCAGACTTCCTCTATACTATGCAAAAAATGCCTGCATTTGCCCGGCAAGAGTGAAGTGCTTGGGAAGGGAGGAGGCCTCAAGTAGCTAAGTGCTCAGCCTGGTGTATCCTCCTGATAAGGCAGGGAAGAAGAGGGAGAAGAACCTTTGAAATGATCAGTAGTGCCTATGTGGAGGAATTGGGCACCTAATTGCAATTAAGGATCCTGCCTCCCTTCAGTCCATAATCCCTTTTGTAAACAAGCTCACAAAGGACAGAGAAAAAGAAAATAGAGAGGTGACACCACTGTCTGGGAGAAGATGTCAGAAACCGTTGATGAGATGTGGCCATATTCTGCAGTAGCAGAAGCTCTTCTATGAGCAGAGAGGTAGAAATGTTTGTGCTTGCATTCACTGCATGTGCATGAGACTTGGACTCCACCACAGATACATCCAAACACCATTGTATCTGAAAAGTCTTTCTTCTTTGCTCCTTATTTACTGAGGACTTCTCACCTCCAGCTTTGGTGCAGGCTCCCAGCAGGTTGACTACATTCAGATGATGTCCTATATGGATGAGGATCTTCAGTTCAGACATTAAAGCCTTGCATTCATTAGTAGTTGCACATTCTGCTTAAGATAAACAGGAAAAAAATCATCTTTACACAACAGGATATTTTTAACAGGACACAGCAAGATCCTGTTTATACTTGGAAACAAAACCCACCCAGGTTACTTGCAGTATCTTTGCTTTTCAGACTCTTAAACAGATAATAATTCATCCGTTTCATTGTCTGTTGACCTTTATGAAGTGGAATAACACTTTATCTTTTGGGTGACTCTTCCTTTCTCTAGCATGGGTTATGGAGGGTTACCGTCCCATAGGAGAACCCTCCCTCCGAATCAGATACCAGAGAGCCTTTGCAAGGACTGAATTTTGCAAGCTTAGCAAAGGAAAAACCAACCACTCCAAGCAACAATAGCACACAGAAGAACATATTCTACCATCTATAATGGTGATGTGCAGTTTAGTAGTACTTCTTTACAATACCTCAGGATATATTTTCCTCAGTACTGAACAACTCCCCACTGCAGGTGATGGAGGAATCCAACACATCTGTAAGTTGGGTCCCAAATGTACTGGAGAATGTACAGCATTACTAAATCTCAGCCCTGTGTGATCTCATTGACCCAAGAAATACATTTTCCAGCAAAGGAGAAGGGGCCATATTTGTGTGTGAACCATGAACTTGACACTTGATGAAGCACTGACTAGCCAATCATACTGCAGTTTCATTCTCTTTTGCTGCCAAAGCTAAGGCAGGCACTCTGAGACCAGAACATTGTTCAGATGCTGGCTTTTTTCCTCTGCCTTCTTTCCAAAACTTTCAAGATGTAGTTTAACAAAAGGGACTGTGTCCTTTTTTCTCTGGTTTTGCCTTTGCATCATGTAAGATTTACATATGAAGAAACAGTTACATAACAGATCATTTGGTGTGACAAAAGTAACCTCTTTATCTGTTTGTAGAATTCTCCATAAATAAATCTTTCACCAAACTGTGTCATAAAGAAGGAGCTATTGCAAGCCCAAGATTTCTTCAGTCAATGGTGTTTGTAGATGGGTGTGTACATGGGTGGTATCACTTCTGATTTACCCTGATATGAGCTCGAACACACGCCTGGCAAAATCTAAACAGAACAGCTTCAGAAGTGTTTCAGATAACCTTGCACATTAAGCTTTAGCCTTCAACCCAGAACTGATACCAGCCTACTTCATGGAAATGACAGATAACGCTAGAATTACAGAAGTGCAGACATCTCCAGAGCCTTTTTTTTTTTTCCCCTAAATGGATTGACTCACACTAGAGAATCTGCTTTATTCAAGAAAGTGATGAATTATGGGCATGTTAGTTGGGGAGGGACAGATTAGAGCAGGAGGCTGCTGCCTCCACTGGGGAGGAAGGTGTAAAATGATGGAGGAACTGTCAAATAGTTTGCTGAATATGTGCAGGCAGGGTAGAGTTGACATGAGGATCAGTTGGGAAGCACAGCGTGGAAGTGAATGAAAACCCTGCATTGAGTATCCAGGGCAGTAAGTTTTGGATGGAGAAGGGAGTGTGTCTGGATCAGGGGCTTCTAGGATATTTCAGGGATCTGGAGATGGGCATGGAACAGAAGAAACAACAGCAGGAGAGAAGATGATCTGAAGATCTACTGACTAATGCAGAGAAGGGAGACCAGATTCGGAGGAAGTCCAGACAGGTGATAAACTGATATTTTTGAAATTTCAGAGAGATGGGAAGTAGCAGAGCACCAGGAGAGGCAGCTAGCAACAGAAGCCAAATACCGTGATAGAAGTTCCTAAATCATGGCATTGCAGGGGTTAATATTGTCATGCAGCAGCAATGCAGAGCAATGTAGGCTACGAAAAGCCATCCAGTGAGCATCGATTGTACCTTGGAAGAAATCCTAAGTGAACAGTTAAAAACCTCCAACCCACGTAGTCGATGTACTGGCTGATACATTTATTCATAAGCTGTCTGCAGAGGTTTTGTATGTAAATATAATATGAAAGAATAGTCTCCAAGTTCCCCCCTTCCCCACCACTGAATGGTAAAAGCTTTCCTTAATTTCAATAATTGCAAGCAAGTTGTCTCTAATTCACTCCCTTGGCATTGCTTTTTTTTTTCAACCCCTTGAACTGTTCTACATCTGGAAAGGCTGTGATCGAAGGCTTAGATCCAATTTCAGACTATCTAATGTAATTACATTCTGTAATCTTTTTCCCTCCTAACCCCACGGACCTGGAAGCTGCTGTTTTCCTCCTCTAGGAATACAAGACTTAATCAGCAGCACAGCATGGAGCCCGCTTGTCATTTCCTACACGTTAACATCCACTGTATAATGACTAATTGCTCCCATATGACAAACCCACTCCCTTCTGAACACAATGAACTTGGGACTGGTTTGGAGCTGAGAACTGGAAACCTCATTGCCCACAGGTTCCCTGAGGAGTCTTGTGAGGATCTCGGAGGAATATGTACCTTTAAGCATTTTTACGGCAACTGTTTTGCAGGTTGAAGATTTATCAATGCCAAAAGCAGACGCCTCCACCACCTTCCCAAAAGCACCATGACCCAGTGTTTTACCTAGAGAAGCAAGAGTCAAGAATGAGCCAAAGGGGACTTATGACAGTCTGCATCAGATAAGAAGGAAACATGCATTCTCAGCTATGCAAGAAATACAAGACTCCAGTGCCCAGGCACAACGTAGATGTAGACCGATAGTCAATAGAAGCCTGTATCACATCTTTGCAGTATATGGATATAAACGGTATGATTTGTATCCATATGACTTTAATGCAATACAGTATGTGACAGAACAGAGTAGAATAAATAAATCCGCATTCAGCTGAAGACAAGGCTGAATACACATATATGGCTTAAGGGTAAAAACATTACGTATAGTCGTCCTGAAGCCCAGGAAAGTCAGAGTTTGAGTTAAACATAGAATTGTGGAACCCTGATCTCTCATGAATCACAGTCATGGAGATAGCCAGCTAAGGCACTCAGGTAGTCAGAACCCTTTAACCCTTCTGTTATTGACATTTATGTGGCGTAAAAGCTATACTAAATGGAATTTAAAATTATAATCTTTCTTTATTTTCCCTTTCATTTGAATTTGTATTATTTGTATCACTGTATTACCTAGTGTGCTCTGAGGGCTCTGACCCACAATGCAGCAGAGTATACTGGGCATCATGGTCTGGCTTTTTGGTTCTGCTAGTTTGACCCTATGTCCCGCCATCATCTCATTTTTTGTTATTTCTGTCGTCTTCCTCCTTCTTCCATGTTTTCCAGCTAAAGCACCAACATTTGAATTTGTATTATTTGTATCACTGTATTACCTAGTGTGCTCTGAGGGCTCTGACCCACAATGCAGCAGAGTATACTGGGCATCATGGTCTGGCTTTTTGGTTCTGCTAGTTTGACCCTATGTCCCGCCATCATCTCATTTTTTGTTATTTCTGTCGTCTTCCTCCTTCTTCCATGTTTTCCAGCTAAAGCACCAAGAGCACACACAAATACAGATATATTCCCTATCCTACACTCATCATTGCACACAGCTGTTACTGTTTCTCTATACAAACACAACCTGCTTTTTACATTTTCTTGCTCCATCATCCAGTGAGCTGAGCTGTTAAATGAAATTTGGTTCATTTTTTCATGATAGCTCTTTACAACTCAAAGCCAAGTTCAAATGATTGATAAGGAATTGATTATTTGATGAACTGATAGATTTCTTCAAAATAAAATTCACTGAAAGACTGTCACCTTTC